ATTATCTTTCAAGTTACTGTTTCCTTAGGAAGACAGTACAGGAAGTCCAGAGATTATGAAGTTCCATTCTTAAGCCCGTCTTTAAATGTGTATATAAATGGGAAATGTTAGGTATGGTTCATACCTAATGTTAGTCAAATGCTGTCTTAGTGTATAATATATAGTGTAGCATTATATGCATAAAAATAAACAGTTCCAGATAGACTAAAACATCCTTAACTTAGTAATAATATTTTAATGTGTACCACAAAGCTACTGCAAACATGTATTTGCCTCATAATCTTAATATAATAGGCTTGATGGGAGTTGGTTCATAACTAAGGTATGTATGTTCATAACTCAGGGACTGCCTGTATATAATTTTAAATGCTTAATAAGACAGATGGCAGAACCCAAACAAGATGAAACTGAAAGCTTATATTTGGAGAAATTTACTCAAAAAAAAAAAGACAGTAAAATATTAATCCTATTGAAACAAAAAAATAGACCAAATCAACTTTTTAAAAACATTAACACAAAACTGTACTTCAATGTCTATGATGTAATCATTTTATTGTTAAAGTCTTATTAGAGAATAAAATTAGAAATGCCAAAACAGAGGAATAAATGTTATAAAAGAGTAAATTCATCCTACAAGCAAAATTCAAGAAACACCGATGACTGACAAGCTGAGGGAGGAAAAAATATCGTACAAAAATATTTTGGTGTATTAGAAAAGAGCATTTCTATTACTGTATGAAAGAGTAGCCAAACAACTACATTTCCATATTTTAAAAAAGCACAGACACCAGAAAAACTTTTTGACATTATATGCTATTATTGCTGAAATAAGATACTATCAAGAAATCTTTCCACCTCCCAAGTCCTTAAAATAGAAAAATTATGAAGGCTTAAACATTTGCCTGCATGGACATGGGGCTTGAATGAAATGTCTCAAGATCGTTTTCACTTCTATGACTCTAGTGTATGGAGAAGAATGTCCACCTCCTTTCCATGTGCATTTTAGAATGAGTCCTAGGTTGCTGTGCACAGATAGAGGACGAAATTTCATTCTCTGACCTGCTAGATTCCTAATAGTTAATGGGATACTCCAAAAGACAATTAAGACCAGGAGTACTCCCATACTAAGAAACAAAATAAACGTACCTCCTGTTCGTCCACTGCCAATCTGCACAGCAGGTTGGAGGCTTCCTTCATTTTGCAGTAAATGAGGCAAATGATAATAAATACTTGGCACTTGAAGAGATTTTCTGCTTGTTAATTCCTTTAATAGCTTTAGGGCATTATCTGAAAAAACAAAGTAAAATTAGCCCATGGGAGCACCTCATCTTATAGAAATGGCCTATTTTTTAAATCAATTTATTGGGGCTCATACAATTCATCACAATACATAGATCAATTGTGTAAAGCACATCTATACATTTGTTGCCCTCATTATT